CAACGTCGGCTGCGACACGAGCGCGTTGAGCTCGGCGAATTGGCCGAACGACCTCCGCTTCAGATTGCAGCTCCCGAGCATCGCGACGCGATCCTTCTTAATTCCTCTCGATATCGAAGTTTTCGCCGTGTTTGTGTTTCTCCCTAGGAACACCTTCGCGTGGAGCATGTCGTCGCACAGGTACGCGCGCAGTCTCCCGCCGTTTCCGTTTCGCGCGCTGTGATTCTCCTCCAGCGCCTTGAGCGCTTTTCTGTTGGCGTCGTGATACACGTTGGGATTCCGCGGCATCACGAGCGTCATCGCGCACCCGCGTTCAAGCGCCATCTCCAACACTTTGACCCCGGCGCCGTCGACGTACGCGGCGGCGACGATGAACTCGTCGTAACGCTCGTCCCGCATCAGTTTCATTAACGCCGGCAGGACGTCGAACGACCCCGGGAAAGACCTCGCCCAAGGCGCGGCGTACGCGACGACGTCGAACCCCGTCGGCGTGTTCGTGATGAATTTGACTCCGCCCGCGCGCGCGATCTTGTCCGACACCGCGTTCCGGTCCCTGGACCCGACCGTGAGCGTCGCGGTATTAAGGGTTTTGTCGCGCACAGCGCGGACATCGTGGGTATCGCCGCGCTGGTCCTTCCGCAAGTCGTTCAACACGCGATCGGCGGCGCCCCCCGCGGGGCCGTTGACGCGCATCGCCAGCGCCCCCACCGCCGCTCTCCCCTCCGCGCGGATCGAGAAATCCCTCCACGGCCTGAACCGATCGCCGATGTTCACGCCGCCGAAAACGGCCGTCGGGAGCGCGTTTAATCGATGACACATGAGGTACTTGGCGTGCGTCGGCTGCTCGCGCGGCGCGAATCGCACGAGCTTCGGGAACGCGTCTTCCAACTCTTTCAGCTCGCGCGCCCAGCTCTCCGTGCCTTCGCACCAGCGCGTGAACGCGCTGACGACGGAGCAGTCCACGGACGCGTCCACGCGCACGCCGCGCGCCGCCGCGCGTCGAAACGCGTCCAGAACGCGTCGCGCGCTGGCGCCCGGCTCGAGGACGTAGACGCAAAATTCGACGCGGTCGCCGAAACGCGTGGCGTCCACCTCTCGCACGATGACGTCCACGGTCTCGTCGTAGCACGTCAGGAGGCGCACGGGCGGGACCGGGTCGGAGGCGACGCGGCGCGGCGTCAGCGCGCGCGTGGACGGGTTCCACCACGCGTCGTCGAACGACCGGAGCGGGTTTCTCGCCATCGCGTCTCTCGCCGCGTCTGATGCTCTCTCCGTCCCTCGCGTTCGCTCGGACAACGAGCGGTCCGCCGGCGGCGTCGAAGTCGTCGCGCGCGCGTTCGCGTCCTCCACCGCGCGCGCGCGCGTCGTCGTCGAGACCGTCGTCCTCTTCCGCGACGACGACGCGACGGCGCGGCGGCGATGGGACGTCGGGGGGACGCGCGAGGCGAGCCCCGCCGCCGCCGACATCGCGCGCGCGCTCGCGGCGGCGTTCGTTTAGGATTGCGCGGGGAAAAGAAACGAACGCGTCGAGGAGATCTCCCTCCCTCGCGCGCGCGACGACCGTTCGCTCCCGCGCGCTCCGCGTCGAGCCGCGCCGAACCGCCTTCGCGACTCCCTCGACGCCGCGGTCGCCCTCGCGCGCGCTCGCGTCCGCGCGTCCGCGCGGCCGTCGCCGTAGTCGCGAGTGATGCGAAGCGCGAAGATACTTTCATACTTTTGCGACAGCTGGCACGAGAGCGCGCGAGATTCGCATTCGCGCGGAAGATTCGCTCTGCTCGATCGCGAGATTGTTTGCTCGTACGACCCGCGCGTCTCGCGTACTACGCCGAAAAAGCACTTCTTTCACCCACCGTTCGGTTTCAACATTTGATGGCGTCCCCTTTCAACTGATCGATGAACTTCAGTTCTCCTTTGGAATGGACCTCATGCCCTCTGTCTGTCGGCTGCGTGCAGGAGCGAGAGTGATGCCGCAACGCACTCGGCACTTCGCCCCCCGCGCCGCCGACGCGGCCGGGACGATGCGCCTCGCCGCGCGGGGTTCCGTCGGCGTCGCGTCCCTGGCGCGCGCGTGGGCGAGGCGACACGCGGCGCCCGCGGCCCTCCTCCACCACCGCCCGCCGCCGCCGCCGCGTCGTCGTCATCACCACGCGCGCTGGCGCTCGTCCGTCAGCGCGGCGGGCGCGTCCGGCGGCGCCGCGGCGGACGCGCCTCCGTCCTCCTCCTCATCCTCCTTCGAGGTCGTCGCGCCGATCGACGTCCCGAAGCCCACTCCCGCGCGCCTCGACGCGTACATCGCGACGCACGCGCCGCCGTCCGAGGGCGGCGGCGGCATCACGCGCGCGCGCGTCGTCGCATCCATCAAGGCTGGACTCGTTGACGTCAACGGCGTCGTCGCGCGGAAGGCGTCGGAGCGCGTCTCCCCCGGTGACGTCATCCGCGTCGCGCTGAAACCGACGCCCCCGACGGAGGCGGCGCCGGAGGACATCCCGCTGGACGTGAAGTACGAGGACGAGCACGTGCTCGTGGTGAACAAGCCGGCTGGGATGGTCGTGCACCCGGCGCCGGGGCACTCGAGCGGGACGCTCGTCAACGCGGTGTTGTTTCGATGCGGCTGCCCCGCGATGCGCGTCGCCAGCGGGAACGCGTCCACGTCAGATGCGTCCTCCACGTCAGATGCGTCATCCACATCAGACGGAGAGGATACTGACGTGGACGCTGACATGGAAGCTGACGTGGACGACGACGAACCCTCCTATTCGCCGCCGACGCTCCCCAACGGCGCGAGAAACACCGCGGACGGCGTCGCGCGCCCCGGGATCGTCCACCGCCTCGACAAGGGCACGAGCGGGCTCATCGTCGTCGCGAAGAACGAAGCCGCGCACGCGTCGCTGTGCGAGCAGTTCGCGACGCGCGTCGTGCGACGCCGCTACCTCGCCATCTGCCTCGGGTCGCCAGAGCAGGGCGAGGGACGCGTCGACGCGCCCATCGGGCGGGACCCGAGGGACCGGCTGAAGATGGCCGTCGTCAGGCGCGTCCTCCTCACACTGGTTCCCATACGACCGCGTTCGCGTTGTGAACTTCATTCCTTAAGGACTATCTCTCCCGGCGATCGTTCCTCTCCGCTCACCCCTCACTTTCAATCCCGACACGCCTCGATGCCTTTCAACTCCGCTTCTGACGCCTATGAAATCCACCCCCACGTTCGCTCGTATGGACAATTACCCTCAGAGGCGAGAGCCGAGGCGGGAGACGCGCGGCGAGCAACTACAAGGTTCGAGCGTCGCTCGCGCGCGGGAACGCGTCGCTCGTGGAGTGGCGGCTCGAGACGGGGCGGACACACCAGATACGCGTCCACGCGCGAGAGATCGGGATCCCGATCTTAGGAGACGAGACGTACGGCGGCGCCGGGAACGGCGCGGAGGAGAGGCTGCGGTCGAAGGGCGCGATGACGCCGGCGGAGGCGAAGCGCGTCGCGAAGATATCGCGTCGGCCGATGCTGCACGCGCAGACGCTGGGGTTCAGACATCCGCGCACGGGGGAGGAGATGGACTTCAAGGCGGAGCCGCCGGAGGATTTCGCGGAGGTGTTCGAAGCGCTGCGCGACGCGAGCGCGTGATCACTAATTACAGTCACAAGAATTAATAAGTTAGCGCGGTGCCGTCGTCACCGCCGTCTCCATCGAATCGGCCCTAAGAGCTCCTCGAGCTCGGCTAAGAACAGCAGCCGGTGCCCGTACGACGTCATCCCGAACACGTTCACGAGGAGCTCGTGGTGCGCACCCTCCGCGGGGTCGCCGAATCCGATCTCCTCGTGGAACTTCACGAGCGCCTTGCCGTGCAGATGCTGCTCGCGAAACGCCGTAGAGTACCGCGCCAACCCGCGGCCTTCGAGCCACATCGCCATCGTGTCCGCGGTCTGCGGCACGCTCTCTTCCGCTCTCTTCTTCTCCGCGCGCGCGGGCGCGGCGGCGGCGGCCGCGCCGCCGCCTCCGCCTCCGCCGCCTCCGCCGCCGCCGCCGCCGCCGCCGAGCTTCAACCCGTCCAACTTCCCGGCGTCGACGCCGTGCGCCGCCTCAACCTCCCCGACGAGCCCCGGCAGCGAGCGCTCGATCTCGTCCTGGTTGTGCATGTTGTAGTACAGCTTCGTGCCCATGATGATCCCGAGCCAGCCGTCGGCTTTGTACCCTTTTTCGAACATCACGGGAATCAGCGTCTTCTTGCGCTGAGGGTCGTTCCACACGAGCGAACGTCGGGGTGGAGTTGAAAGGCGTCAGAAGCGGAGTTGAAAGGCGTCGAGGTCGGGGATCGAACGCAAGGGATGGGCGGAGAGAGACGCCGGCAAAAGTCCTTAAGGATCGGCGTTCACCACGCCGACGCGGTCGTATGGGAACCAGTGTGAGATAGAACGCACCTGATACGCGTACTCCGCCTCCGTCCGACACGCCTGCGACTCTTTATACCGGTGCGTCACGCACATGATCACCGCGTCGCTCTGTTCCACCGCCGCCGCCATCGCCTCCAGCGTGCTCCCCATCATGCGATCGACATCCATCCACACCGTAAAGCCCCTCGCCATGAGCTCGTCGCGAAGCGCGAGCGCGCGCTGCTGCGTCCGCCACTCGTACGACAGCATGACCTGCGCGGTGGCGTTCTCCGTGACGCCGCCGCCGAGCGCCTTGACGTCGCGCTCGCTGAGCTCGTACTCGATCGCCTCGTCGCCCTCCAAGTGCGAGCCTTGGATCATCCATAACGCGCCGCGCGCCTTCTTCTTCGTCGCGTCGCTTCCGAGGCGCCGCGCCTCTTCGAGCGCGTCGATCGCGCCGGGCTCGCTCGCGATCGCCGCGCGCGCGGCGTCGTCGAACGCGAGGTTCCACAGCGCCGTGCACGCCCATCGCCTCGCCTTGTCCCACTGATGCTGCCGCTCGTTGAGACACCGCACGAGCATCGGCACCGCGCCCGCGTTTACTATCCTCGCCTTGTTCGCGTCGATCGTCGCTAAGTTCGCGATCCCCTGCGTCATCTTCCACACCGTGTAGTTTAACCCGTCGAGCTTTCGCCCGTCCAGCGCGGCGGCTAAGGGTCGTTCCATACAAAGCATTGTCGGGGTGGAGTTGAAAGGCGTCAGTTGGAGTTGAAAGGCGTCGATGGCGGGGATTGAAAGCGAGGGGTGGGCGGAGAGAGACGCCGGGAAAAGTCCTTAAGGATCAGCGTTCACCACGCGAACGGGGTCGTATGGGGACCAGTGTATAGAACGCACCTAAGACGTCGACGGTCTCCTCGATGATCGTCGCGTCTTTGGTCAGTCGGTCGTCGCTCTCCTCGCGTCCGACGAGATTTGCGATCGCGCACGCGCTGTTGATGCGCACCGCGCCGCGACGCTGCGACACGAGGTTCAGGAGCACCTCCACGGACCCGGCGCTCTTCAGCAGCATGTGCTGCGCGCTGTTGTGCGACAGGTTGCGGAGCAACGCCGTCGCGTGGTCGCAAAAATCCTTCTCGCGAAAGTCGCGCGCGTTGAGCACGCACTCGACGCCGTCGCACGAGCGCCGCAGCCGGTTCACGATCGACGGCACGAGCCGCCCCTTCGCGATCAACCGGTGCGTATCCTCGTTGAACGCCGCGATCGCGCCGATCAGAAACGCGCACGCGCACTTCACGACCTCCGGGCAATCGTCGTCGTCGAAATGTTTTCTCGCCGCGTCGATCGCGCCGTGCGTCGCCGCCTTGCCGCAGATTGCGCCGTTGCGATAGCACAGCGCCTGGAGCGCGTACGTCGCGTGCACGCTGCGCAGGTCCGCCATGAGGAGCAAGTTCTGGATCGTCTCCGGGTCGCTCGCGAGGATCTTGGACTGCGTCGCGCTGAGGTTCTTCGCGCCGTCGTCGATCTGTCGCGTGAGCGCCTGTCGCATCCACTCCGCGGCGTCGGTCGCGTCGCGCGTCACCGTCGTCGCGACGCCGCGCTCGATATCGCTCGCCCACGTCTTGATCGCGGCCGCGCACGACGCGAGCTTCGCGTCGAGCTCGCGCTCGGCGCCGACGAACTCAGGGTCGTACAGCGACGTCGGACACCGCAGCCAGTGCGCGATCTCGTCGTCGTCGTCGTCGTCGTCGTCGTCGTCCGCCTCGTCCGCCGCCGTCGCGGGCGCGTCCGTCGCGATCGCGCGCGTCCGCGCGGCGCGGCGCGCGATCGGACGCGCCGCCGCGGATCTCGCGGCGAGGACGCGGCGCGTCGCGCGCGGCGCCGCGGTCGTCGCGGAGGCGGCGCGCGCGGCAGCCATCCGTCTCTCGCGCGTCCGCGCTCTGTGCGCGCCAACGAAAAAGAACGCGCGCGTCTTTTCGTGGCCGCGGAGCGCGCGAGGCGAATCGGGCGAAGGCGAGATTTCGACGTTGACCGCTATTCCCTTTCATTCCCTTTCAGTTTGAAGCGATGTCGACCGCGTTTCAAAGGAAAATAGGCGCGGCTCACGCGCGATTTGGTAATCCGCGAAAACAGCCTGCTCGGCACCCCACGCGAACTGAAGAAGAGGAAAGAAAAACTCGCGCGTGCGTCGAGCCGGATGGAGCTTCGCGCTCTTCTGTTCTTACAAGACAAGATGAAAAGAAAATACTACATCACCGCGACCGAAAAAAGTACTCGTACAAACGCCCGCGCGTCCCTCAGATCATGCACGAGAGCGTCTCCTCGAGCACGGGGGTCTGGAACCACCGCGACTGCCAGTCGTCCGCGGGCGCGACGTTGTCCATCGACTCGTGATGCGACTGAGGGTAATTGTCAACACGAGCAAACGTCGGGGTGAAGTTCAGGGTTGCGTCAGAAGCGGAGTTGAAAGGCGTCGAAGGCGGGGATCGAAACGCCGGGTGGAAAAGTCCTTAAGAAACGGCGAGCACCACGCGAACGGGGTCGTATGGGGACCAGTCATCAGTGTGATGAGATGAGACGCGCCTCCGGGACCTCGGCGCGCAGGATGTTGTTGATGAGCTTCGCGGCGGGGTCCGACGCGGTGCCCCTGACGAAGGACTTCGCGAGCTGCGCGAGCTCTTCGAGCTGCGAGGGCACCGCGACCGCGTTATTCTCGTGCGCTTCTTCCGCTTCTTCCGCTTCGGCGGCTTCGGCGGCTTCGTCTTCCGCTTCGGCTTCGGCGGCTTCCACTTCCGCGTCAGCTTTCTCCTTCTCCGCGAGACGAATCGCCTTGGCCGCGGCTGAGGGTAATCGCGCATACAAAGCGACGTCGGGGTGGGGTTGAAAGGCACGTCAGTTGGAGTTGAAAGGAGTTGAAAGGCGCGATGTGTCGGGATTGAAAGTGCTGCTGTCCTTAAGAAACGGCGTGCACCACGCCGACGCGGTCGTACGGGGACCAGTCATGACGTGATGAGATCGAGACGGGACGCGCCCAAGTCTTTCGACGCGGCGATGAGCTCTCGCTGCGCGTCCTCCAGCTCTCTCTTCATCTTCAACTCGAGCTGGCTCCTCTCGTAGAACGCGCGCGCTTCCTCCGCAGCCTTTTCTCTGTGTTCCTTCGCCTCCGCGACCGCGGCGGCGGCCCGCGCGGTCGCGGTCTCCGCGTTAATGCGCTCGCGCTCGGCGACGGCGGCGGCGGCGGCGGCGGCGGAGGCGGCTTTCTCCGCGTCCTGGCGTTTGACCTCGCGCATCGCGTCCAAAGCGGCCGCCGCGCGCGCGCTCGCCTCGAGCCTCAACCGCGTCTTTTTGTCCACGGCCTCGATGCCTCTCAGCGCGCCGCTGGCGTAGGATTCCTCGCCGCTCGGGGGCTGAATCATCTCGACGAACTCGCGCTGCGCGTCCGGGTTCCAGTAATCGAAGTACTGAGGGTCGAGGGAGGGGCGGAGTCGAAAGGCGTCAGTCGGAGTCGAAAGGCGTCGCGGCGTGTCGGGATCGAAAGCGAGGGATGGGAAGAGAGAAAGGACGTCAAAATTCCTTAAGGATCGGCGTTCACCACGCCAACGCGGTCGTGTGGGGACCAGTGTGACCACCAGGACGCGCCTTGATGGTGATGGTCTCGTTCCGCTTGAGCACCTCGACCGCGTCGCGTTGGATGTCGTCGACGACGAGGAGCGCCGCCTGCGTCTCCGCGATCGCGTTCGTGATGTCGCGCGAGAGCACTCCCTCGACCGGGTAGATCGCCCTGGCGAGGACGTTATCGCCGTCGCGCGCGTGCGGCGCGCGCGGGGTCGCGACCGACGTCGGCGCGACGTGCGCGGCGCCATTTTTCTTTCCCTGCTTGTTCTTCTTCTGCTGCGGTCCCGCGCGCGTCGATCCCGGCGTCGCGCGGTGTCCGCACGCGATCGTCTTCGCGAGCGCGCGCGGGACGCGATCGCGCGATCTGTTCGCCGCGATTTGGCAGCGGTACGCGGAGGTGATGGAGGTCATCGGCGTCGTCGTGTGCGTCGTCGTCGTGCGCGTGCGCGTTGATTAATGCAGGTGACTCGGCTGCCACGCGGCGGAAAAGTAACAACGTCAGCCGCATCGAAGCGTCGTCGGTGCGGTCGGCGACGCTTGATCGCGTATCGACCGTGGCGCGAAACTCGCGACGGGGCATCGCGCGGTCGAGAATCGATCGCGAGCCCTATCCGAGCGCCGCGTCGGATAGAATTCATCGATCGGCGCGGTAGGTTATTGGTTTGGTTTTCGGTCAATTTTGGGTTTTCTTCAGTTTTGGTTTTGGAGGCGTATTTCCGTACGCGTACTCTATGGGTATTCGGTCACGGTACAAAACCGCAGACTGTTTGCGCCGCGCGATCTCGACCCGAATCAGGCTCATCCTGCATCAAGGCACGTCGTTTTCCCGCCACGTGACACACTCGTCAGCCAGGCGGCGCGGCGTTTAAGCATCCCCCGCGAGAATGCGCCGCGCGACGATGGGACGCGCGCGCGCTCGCGATGGCGCGCCCGCGCGGCATCTCGCGCCCTCCCTCCTCCTCCTCTTCCTCGCCGCCGCGCCCGCGGTCGTGGACGCCGCGCCCGCGAAGCATTGCATCGCCCTCGGCGCGCGCGACGCGCTCCTCGCGGTGCATCTGCAGAATGACTTTTTCGACGCGCGCGCGATGAACGGAGCGTACGCCCCCGGCGCGTCGCTCGCGTACCCGCTCGACGCGTCCTACGTCCACGGCGAGAACGTCCGCAGAGGCGCGCTCGCGGTGCGTCGCGCCGAGGAGGTGGTCCCGGTCGCGAACGCGTGGATGCGCGCGGTAGACCGCGCGAACGGCTCCGTCGTCGCGACGCTGGACTGGCACCCGCCCGATCACTGCTCGTTCTGCAAGTTCGGGGCGAAGCAATCGAGACGATTGGACTGCGTGTGGGGGTGCGAGGGCACGAATGGGATCTGCGTCACCGGCGCGGGCGTCCCCGCGGCTGTGTTCGACAGCACGGGGCGATGCGCGGACGCGGTCAGCGAGAGCGACTTTCAGCAGAGCCGGTATTTCCAGTGGCCGCGACACTGCGTCGCGGGCACGTTCGGGAGCCGGTTCGATCCGTACCTGAACGTCCCGGAGCGCGCGGTGCGCGTGCACGCGGGCGTGGAGCAGAGCGAGGACTCGTACTCCGCGTTCGGCGGGCGGCGCATACGCGCGGACGGCACGCGCGGCGCGTCGCTGTTGGAGATTTTGCGAAAGAAGAACGCGAAGCGCGTCTTCGTGCTCGGTCTCGCGACGGACTACGTCGTCAAGGAGACGCTCCGCGAGCTCTTGAAAGAGGAAGAGGTGTTCGACGACGACGGTTATAACGCCACGACGATGTCAGGAAAAGAAGATGGAACGTCGACCGTCGCGAAGACGAAGCGGCGCGCGTTCAGCGCGGTGTTGATCGCCGCGGGGTCGAGGGGCGTGTTCGACGCGCCCGGATCCTTCTACGGCTCCGACCCGGAATCGCTCAGCGGGACGACGAAGCGCGATCTCATCGCGCTCGGCGTTAGCGTCGTCGGCGCGTCCAGCGTCGAGGACGCGATGCGCGAGCTGTGCGAGGGGACGTGCGACGACGATCACGATTGCGTCGACGGCGACGGCGGCGGCGGCGGAGCGGGGAAGCTGGATGAAAAAATTTGCGTCGACCGCGGAGGGCCGCACAAGGTGTGCGTCCCGAAGCCGAAGGTCATCGCGGGCGTCGACGCGCGCGTGTTCTTCTCCGTCGCGTTGGCCGGCGTCCTCGGGATCGTCGTCGTCGCCGTGACGTTCCGCGGCGAGATCGTGAGCTACGTCTCGAACCGCGCGAAACGGAAAGGCCCGCCGACGGATTTCGTCGTCCTCGTCGAGACGGACATCGAGGCGCGTTCTATCTCACACTGGTCCCCATACGACCGCGTTCGCGTGGTGAAGCCTTTTCTTAAGGACAGGACTTTCTCTCCCGGCGGTCGGTTCTCTCCGCCCACACCTCGCTTTCAATCCCGCACTCACACCGCGACGCCTTTCAACTCTCAAGTCTGACGCCTTTCAACTCCGCCCCGACGTCGCTTTGAACGATGGAACGACCCTCGCAGGGCTCCTCGGAACTGTGGGAGACGATGTCCGCGGCGGGTCTCCAGGACGTCATGAAGGACCGCATCATGGGCACGCACGACGAGGTACTGCGTCGAAACATGAAGAAGCACTACGGCTACGAGCTCTTCGTCCGCGGCGACGCGTTCGTCGTCGCGTTTCACGAGGTGAAGGACGCGTTGTCGTGGTGCCTTCGCGTCCAGCTCGACCTGATGGCGTCGGACTGGCCGGAGGTGTTGCACGACGCGACCGCGGCGTCGGAGCGCGTGTGGGGCACGTACGAGGGGCTGCGCGTGCGCATGGGCGTGCACTGCGGCGTCGTGGACAGCGCGACGAAGCACCAGGGAAAGCTCGTGTACGAGGGCGAGGTGACTCGGCAGGTGACGCGGATTTGCGACGCCGGGCACGGCGGCGCGATCATCATGTCGCAGGCGACGCTGCCGCTGCCGCTGATGATGCCGGACGACGACGTCAACTACGTGACGTACGACCAGGGTCTGCACGCGGTCAAGGACTTCAGCGCGCCGCAGCGGCTCAAGGAGGTGTATCCGGAGAAGCTGATGTCGCGCGCGGTGATCGATCACAAGACGGGGCGAAAACTCGACACGGAGACGCGGCTGTCGCCGTCGTTCCACGACGCCCCGAAGGGCCTCGTGACGATGATCTACTGCCACGCAGACGGGCTAGGCGACCTCAAGAAGGCGCTCGCGCCCGCTGTTGTCGACGCGGCGATCGAGATCATGGCGGAGACGTTGCGCGCGTGCATGCAAACGCACGAGGGGTACGATTGCCGCGGGCACGAGAAAAACGGCGAGAACATGTACGTGTTCAAGTCGTACGTGAACTGCGCGCTGTTCGCGGTCGAGGCGCAGAAGAAGCTTCACGAGGCGGCGTGGCCCAAGGAGCTGATCGAGCACCAGCGCGCGACGGACGACGCGGCGCAGGGGAAACGCGTCGCGGGGTTACGCGTCAAGATGGGGATGCACAGCGGGCAGGTGCGTTCTACTGTGTGCACGTTTTTCACCCACACACACCCTACAGTACACGGTGAAACGTTTCAACATTTGATCGCGTTTCCTTTCAACTGACCGACCGATGAACGTGTTTTCGTGATGAATGACGCGCAGCTGAAACGCATTCGCATCCCGAACGAGGGGCTCGCGGATTACTACGGCGAGTCCGCGAACAGAGCCGCGCGCGTCATGTCCACCGCGACGGGCGGGCAAGTCGTCTGCGTCGCGAGCGAGCTGGAGTACTTCTTAGACGAGCACACCGGCGTGCGGCCGAAGTTTGTGGAGGATCCGATCGGGACGTTTCAGTTGAAGGGCATCCCGGGGGCGACGGCGTTGGTGCAGCTCGCGCTGGACGAGGACATGGCCGCGCTCGCCGCGCGGCGGTTCACGGAGGGGAAGAAGGCGACGCTGATCACCCCGGGCGCGCATCTGCAGAGGGTCGTGCACGAGGCGGTTCGCGTCGCGCGGCAGAACTCGAAGAAGAAGCTCGGCGTTCGGCTCGAGTCGAAAGCCAGAGGGTGGGCGTCGAACGTTCGGCGACGGATGAGCTTGAGGGAGTCCAACTCGGGCGGAGCGGCGCCCGAGGAGGCGAGCGGCGAGAGACGCGGGGGGTCGGAGCCGGCGACGGTCGGAGCGGTCGGAGCGGGTCTCTCCGGATCGAACGGGTCCGGGTCCGGGTCCCCCGCGAAGGCGGCGGCGGCGGCGGCGGCGAAGTTCCCGGACGAAGCGACGCCGGCGGCGGCGAAGTTCCCGGACGAAGCGACGCCGGCGGCGGCGACGCCGAGCGCGCAGCCGCCGTCGCCTTCGGGGGAGTCCACGGACGCGCGGACGCAGCTTGCGCCTTCGCCGCCGTCTCCGTCGTCGAGGCGCGCGTCCGTCGCGTCCGTCGAGGACCTCGGGTCGAACGCCGAAACGTAGACCAGGCGCGAACCGCCGTACGATCACGCGATGAAGAACTACAAACGCGCCACAGTACGTTCGCATTCAAACGCACCCTAAACCACCCTATGATACTACTACGTCGCGTTGACCTGCTGCGCCGTCGTCGTCGTCGTCGTCGCGGCGGCCGCGGCGGCGGCGGCCGCGGCGGCTCTCGCGTCGGCGTCTCGCTCCGCGGCGCGTCTGCGTTTGACCTCCTCCATCGCCATCGCCTCGACGAGGTACGCCTCCTCGACCCTCAAGCCCTCGGTCCTGGTGAGGTCTTTAACGAAACGCTCATGCCTCGCGCGTTTCGCTTCGAAATCGCTCTCGAAATCCCTCGCGAACGTCGCCATCATCTCGTCCCACGCCGCCGCGCGCGACGTCGGCGGGCGGGGCGCGGCGCGCCTCGCCCTCTTCTTCTTCGCGGCGTCGTCGTCGGCGTCGTCGGCGTGGAGCGTCTGCGTGGGTGAAGCGATCGGTCAGTCGAACGTCTTACCGGTCAAACGTTGAAAGGGAAGCGCGGGTGAAGAGTGACGACGGGAAAAGTCCTTAAGGAACGGCGTGCACCACGCGAACGGGGTCGTATGGGAAGCAGTCTCACCTCCCGCGGCGAGCCATTCTCGTCCTCCTCCGTCTTCACCTCCGTCTTCGCCTCCGTCTTCGCCTCTCCTCCTTCTGTCTTCGCGTCTTCGCCCCCCTCCCCGTTCTCCTCCTCCTCCGCGCCGGGTTCCGCGCGGCCGCGATCCATGTCGTCCTCGTCCGCGGGCGCGTAGACGTTGTACGGAAGAAGGCGCGCGATCGCGTCGTCCAGATCGCGGAACGGCGCGTCCACGATCTCGTTGCACGCGGTCCTGTTGTCGTCCGCCGCGCGCGTCGCCGCGGTCTTGTGCGCCACCTGGAGCGGCGTCAGCGCCGGCGGAGGCGCGGCGGGTTGCTGCTGCGGCGGCGGACGCGGCGACGGCGCGTGCGGCGGCGTTTGATGCTGCGTCGACGCCGAGGCGTGCGTCTGGAGCCTACTCTGCTGCTGATGCTGCTGCTGCTGCTGCTGCTGCTGCGCGGAGACGGTCGACGGCGGGAGCATCGTCCCGGGGGGATGGTACCCCGGCGGGGGATGCAGGTTCGGGTTCATCGCCCGCGCCGCGGCGGAGTGTCGACGTCCCGGTCAAGAAGGCATGACGTCTTCGCAATCAACCCTAGCTCTAGAGACTTCGTACAAAAAAGTTCATCGGTCAGTTGAAAGCGAACGCGATCAAATGTTGAAACCAAGGAGTGGGCGAATAACGTTTATTGAACGCGGGAAGACACGAGAATTTGGAGCACGCGCACATGTCGCGTCTACGAGTGCTTATCCAGTGCTCTCTCGCGCGACGCGACGTCATGGCCGCGGCGACGGCGACGTCGACGATCGCGCTCGGACGCGCGCGTCGTCGCGCACGGCGCGGCGGCAACGGCGGCGTCGGCGGCGGCGCGCGTCATGGCGGCGGCGGCGGCGTCGGCGCGCGCGCGCGGCGAACGATGTCGACGACGACGTCGTCGTCGTCGTCGTCGTCGTCTCGTCGTCGAGACGTCGACGCGCGCTGGCCCGACGCGTCGTCGTCGTCGTCGTTGTCGTCGTCGTCGTCTTCCGCGCGCGTCGACGTCGCCGCCGCGGGCGTCTCCGCGGCGCTCCGCGAGGCGAGCGTCGACGACGACGACGCGCCGCCGACGACCGCATCCATGATCGCCGCGTCGCCGTCGCCGTCCGCGCTCGCGTCGGCGACGGACCCGGCGGAGCTCGAGCAGCTCATAAACCTCCTCCCTCCCGCGATCGCGTCCGCGCTGCTCGCGCACGCGCAGAAGCTCGAGCTCGTCGAGGTCGTCCTCGACCTCGGCCGCGTCCCGCTCGCGCGCTTCGGCGGCGCGGACGTCGCGCTGAGCGACGCGCCGTTGACGCACGATGACATCGCGCGCGCGCTCTCCAACGTCGGCGACGTCGGCGCGGACAACCGCGCGGGGATCGATCGCACGCTGCACCGCATCAGGCGCGTTCTCCTTACACTGGTCCTCATACGACTCCGTCCGCGTGGTGCACGCCGTTCCTTGAGGACTTTCGCTGGCGTTTCTCTCCGCGCGCGCCATGGTTTCGATCCCGACGCGCCGCGACGCCTTTCGACTCCGTCTGACGCCTTTGATGAACCCCGCCCCGACATTCGCTCGTATGGAACGAACGACCCTCAGCGTCATGCGCAACCGCGCGGGGGTCATCGTCGGGATGACGTGCCGCGTCGGACGCGCGATCGAGGGCGGCGCGGACATGATCCGCGACCTGCTGGTGTCCGGCCGCAGCGTGTTGCTTCTCGGGAGACCCGGCGTCGGGAAGACGACGGCGATTCGCGAGATCGCGCGCGTGCTCTCAGGCGCGTCCTATCTCACACTGGTTCCCATACGACCGCGTTGGCGTGGTGAACGCCGATCCTTAAGGACTTTTCCCGGCGTCTCTCTCCGCCCAGGGTCCCTCGGTTTCAATCCCGACACACCTCGACGCCTTTCAACTCCGCTTCTGACGCCTTTCAACTCCACCCTTTCAACGTTCGCTCGTATGGACAATTACCCTCAGACGACTGCGGCCGCCGGGTCGTCGTCGTGGACACGAGCAACGAGATCGGCGGCGACGGCGACGTGCCGCATCCGGGCATCGGCGGCGCGCGGCGGATGCAAGTCACGGAGCCGAGCGAGCAGCACGCGACGCTGATCGAGGCGGTGCAGAATCACACGCCGCAGGTGGTGGTCGTCGACGAGATCGGCACCGAGCTCGAGTGCGCGGCGGCGCGGACGATATCCCAGCGCGGCGTGCAGATGATCGCCACGGCGCACGGGCACACGCTCGAGAACGTCCTGAAGAACCCGTCGCTGAACGACCTCGTCGGCGGCGTCGTCTCCGTGACGCTGGGAGACGACGAGGCGAGGAAGCGGCGCGCGCAGAAGACGACGCTCGAGCGCGAGGGCCCGCCGACGTTCGGCGCCGCGGTGGAGATTCGCGAGACGGGGAAGTGGGTCGTGCACTTGGACGTCGGCGTCGCGGTGGACACGCTCCTCGCGGGGTACGCGCCGCCAGTTGAGCTCCGGAGCGTCGACGACGCCACCGGGAGGGTGATGTCGCGGTCGTGGTTGGGGGACGACAGCGCGGGGGCGACGGGGTTCGACGACGCGCCAGCGGTCGGGTTCAACGGCGGCGGCGGCGGCGGTTTCGACGGGTTCAGCTCGTTCGCGCAGGAGCGGCCGATCGGCGGCGGGGTTGGGTTCGGGTCGTCGGGGGGGTCGTTCTACGGCGAAGCCGGCGTCAGCGGGTTTTCGTTCCCGAGCGCGTCGGGGCCGCCGCGGACGGCGGCGACGGCCGCGGTAACGCCTCCCGCGCGGCCGTTATCCTCGTCCGGGTTCGCCGCGCAGGAGGTGGCGGACGCCGCGGATAAACGCGACGGCGGGACCGCCGGGAAGCGAGGAAGCGCGGCGGCGCGGACCGCGTCGTCGTCGTCGATGTCGACGGATGACGAAAAGGCGTTATTCGCGATTTATCCCTACGATTTGGACTGCGACATGCTCGAGGGCGTGATCGCGTCGTTGGGTCTCGAGGACCGCGTCGTGCTGACGAACGTCCTCGAAGACGCCGCCGCGGTTATCGCGGTGAAGGCGCGTTCGTACTCACACTGACTGGTTCCCATACGACCGCGTCGGCGTGATGCGCGCCGTTCCTTAAGAAGGACTTTCTCTCCCGGCGCATCTCTTTCCGCCCACCCCTCGCTGCTTTCAATCCCGACACACCTCGACGCCTTTCAACTCCGCAACTGACGTGCCTTTCAACTCCACCCCGACGTCGCTTTGAACGATGGAACGACCCCGAAGGCGAGGGTGAAGAGCGCGACGTGGCTTCGGCACGCGGCGCGCGCGCGCGGGTTGCCGATTTACGCGCTGAAAGTGGAGGGGTGGGCGTTCTATCTCACACTGGTCCCCATACGACCCCGTTAGCGTGGTGAACGCCGATCCTTAAGGACTTTTGCCGTCATCTCTCTCCGCTCACCCCTCGCTTTCAATCCCCGCCCGCGTTGCCTTTCAACTCCATCTGACGCCTTTGAACTCCACCCCGACTTCGCTTTGAATGGACCCTCGACCCTCAGGATGCCGCAGCTCGCGCGCGCGATGCAGGCGATGCTCGGGCTCGACAACCAAGGCGGGCTGGTCGGAAACGGAAACGGCGAGCGCGGCGCGGCGAGCGGGATGGCGCGCGCGACGGCGGCGGCGGCGAACGGGAACGGGACGGAGAGCGGCGATGAGCGTAATTCTTCGTCGTCTGATCCGGATCGTTCGCGGAATCCGACGTGGACGCCCGCGGAGGAGGCGGACGCGCTCGAGGAGGTGCGCATGGCGGTCGAGCAGCTCGTGATTCCGCACCAAGAGCCCGTGGAGCTTCTCCCTCGCGCGGATCGCGTGCGGCGGATGCAGGCGGAGGTGATTCAGGGCGAGTACAGGCTGAAGCACGAGGAGTGCGGCGACGGCGCGGCGGCGAGGATTAAAATTCTGCCGTCGTACGTCGACGCGTGAGTATACTGTATAGGGGTTGACACGACGTGTTCGAGTTGGTTCAACGGGAGAGCGGCTTCGTTCGCGTTCGTGCTTTCGTATTCGTTCGCGTCGTCGTCGCGTCGTTTTCCGCGTGCGACTCACGCGCGGTACTCGGGAGGGAGTTTGTCCGCGTATTCCTCGTGCCCGGGGCACTCGTTCTCGATCGCGTACTTGAGGCAGTCCCAGTGCTTATAGTGATTTGCCGATTCACAAGTACCCGAATCCCACGGGCAGCCGTGATCCCGTAACCACTTCAGGATCTCGAGATATCCTCGAACAAGGTTCTCGAATCGTCCTTCAGCAGCGAGCGCACAAGTTCTCGCTTCCCACGTGCACCCGATCTCGTGCAAATACTTGATAATCTCGAAGCGCCCGTGATAAGCAGCTGTGTTCATAAGTAGACTCGTCTTACCGGTCTTACATCCATTCTCGCACGCCCACTTGAGTACCTCAAGGTGACCGTTTGTAATGGCATATTTGGCGGTATCTTCGTCCCACTTGCACCCGTTTGCTCGAGCAAACTTGAGGATTTCCAGGTGTCCCGCGCCAGCGGCATAGGAGCAAGTCGTTTTAGTCCACGGGCACCCTTGAGAGTGCAACCACTCGAGGACGTCGTAGTAAGCCACCCGCGGCTTTCGAGCACAAGAAATGGCTCATGACAGTGCAACCGTGCACGTGCATCCACCGCAGCTTGTTCAGATTTCCTAAACGCACGAGCTCGTTCGTCAAGCCGCTCAGCCCCTTCGCCCCTTTCTTCGGGAGCTTCTTCAGAGCCTCGCCGTCTCCGAAGATACGGTCGAGCTCTTCCTCGGGCACGGGCTCGTTCTCGTCGCGCTTCCTCTTCGCCATCTCGTCGCCGCCCCGCATGATCGTGGGCGTCGCGGGCGTGACGTGCGCTCGCGAGCGGGAGCGCCGCGCCGCGGGAAGTGCGGCTCTCGTTCGAAAAGAAGACGGGAAAAAAACGATTGGTTCTTTTTCTCCCTTCCGAGGTTCTTCTCCGAGGTATCTTATACAGTATTTGGCTCTGCCACGTCGACCACCCCACAACGACGCACGCGCCGCCTCTCCCCTCCCCTCCC